TATATTAACTGTGTGAATGTACACTTTTACACAGTTATAATAATAGTTTTTAATAATCTGAGATTGATTTATCCCGATTTTTTAATATGTGCTTAATTTCTACATCCTTGCCGAGGTTGGTGGCAAATTGCTGCAGTTAGACAATTTTACCATTAATTTTGGGGCAGGGAAAGAAGAGTTAGTGACTGTTCCATGGTGTCATACTCCAAGTATTTGGTATGCTCAGTGGAAATATTCAACCCTTATATATATATATAATATATATTTATAATATATATTTTTTAAGTGAAAAATCAGGGGAGGGAAAGATTTAATTATTGATAACATTATGTCAAACCTAAACACATATGGGAACACAACAGCTTTCCAGAACAAAGTTTTCTTTAGAAAACTGTTCATGCCTCAAAGGCCTGAACATGGATAAGAAGACCCTGATAATCACATCAGGGTAGATGCCTGGGAGGAGGTAAGCCCAATGTCTAATAGCAATTCAACACCCACATCCTTTATTATAACTATGCTGAAATACATTGATATACTATATAAAAGGAAGATACTAAAACTACATACTACTTTCTGTAACTCTAACACAACTCGTGACCCTCTCTGAGAGCCCAGCCCCAGGTGGGTTGGATTGGATTGGATTGGATTGGATTGGATTGGATTGGATTGGGTTGGATTGGACTGGCCATCAGCTCAAACAATCCTCACCAGAATCCAACCAAGCACTCACTCCAGGTAAACAATTCTCCAAACACATTCCACATGGGAAAAACAAGGAGCAGAAACAGAAACTGTTTTCTCTTTCATTTCTCTCTGTGCACCTCTATGAAGAATCTTGAGAAGGAGAGAAATGTGCTTGCCACAAGCAAGTCCCCTGGCTTTTTGTTTGAGTTTGGTTTTTTTGTCTTTTTGGTTTTTTTTCTTTTAATTCTCACAGGATTATATTGAAAGAACATGACTGCACTTTGTAGTCTTTTAAAGGACTAGAGCAGCAACATAAGGAGAGTAGAACACTACTAAAAGGGGCAAGGAAAGTCCTTCTATCTCTGCTGTTAAAATGCTGTGTCTAAACAAAGCAGGAAAAATGCAGGAGTAGCTTGGGTGAAAGAGCCAATAGAGTTCAAACATTTTGCACGTTCTCAGATTGGTGAGCCCTACTTAGTTAACACTTCCACAAGGTGTTAACCAGCTCCAAGGATAATCGTTCTTACCTCCTGAAATGAGAAATGTTCCAGGGCAAATTTCTTTCACCTCCTCCTGTGTAGCTCCACAACTTGGTAATTCAGGGTGAAAGCAATGATATAGCACATTACCAGCTCTTGTTGGGGCCATGGATTGATCCACATTAGGAGATAACAGGGACAGGCTTTCCAGCTTGGTCTTTTGAGAAACACCTGCTGAAGGAACTATTGAAGTTTTCATGTTAAAAGTGGTACAAAACAACTTTCCAATAATGATTAGAATCATGAAAAAGAGGTAAAATATTTATATTAACAGTTTATAACACAAAAGCCAGAGTGCCTCTTCTCACCTTCTCAAGTCCTTATCTCCTCAAATAGGGACTCCTGGAAAAAAAAAAAAAGTCATATAAAGGCAGAAAGCAAGTGTAGCTAAAAAAACACAGAAAAGGGATGAGGTATTTGAAAAAAAAAAAAAGTTGCGATAGATAAACAACAATTTATAGGGATATTCAAATATTCATAGTCTTCTACTGCTGTTGTTTCTACAAAACTCTGTGAAAGGAAGAGGTCCCCACAAAAGTGAAAAACCATTTCTCCTGGAACAAAACTGTGCAGGTAGCAATGCTTATGCATTTCAGGTAATGGAATATGCTTTAATTATCCAAATTCATCCATAAACTAAATGCTCAAAATTTTAGATAATTTAGCAAGCTCATGCGAAGGCAGCCAGCTGAATTTCAGCTTTTTCTCTCCAAAACATAGGATGCAATATGATAGAACTATCTGTAAATGCTCTTGGGTTTCATACAGAAAGGACCAGGAGTCATTAAGGGATATTTTAAACACACTAATGTAATCTTTGGGTATTCTATAAAAAGATATTTTACAGAGGTTCTTAGACTACCAGTATGATGCAGAAAATTGCCATCAAACCAGGATCCTTCGTTTGAACACAAACTCTTCACCTCTTTCTGAGTTTAATTCTATTTCTTTCCTCCACAACAGCGTGGATGAAAATCCAGTATACGACTCTGAACGAGTGCCAAGGCAGAACGCAGCTCAAATATAAGGTACAGTGGCAGAAGTCTCTGGAGGTCTTTGCCCATTTGCAGCATGTCTGATGTCAGACAGGGCTATAAGCTTCCCACTCCAACAGGAGCTGTGCATGCAAATCTTTGTACCTCGTTCCTTGAATAACTTGGAAAGTCCAGACAGACTGCCTGAAAATAGGATTCCAGATGGAGAATCAGGCACATGGCCTGAAATGAATGTTAACTTGACATAGCCTTCCTTTTCTCAAAATGCTTTGGAACAATTTTTTGAGCAAAAAAAAAGTACAGAAATTGCTATCAAGGTAACATCACAATTACTATTTCATTTTAACTTGTCAGCAACTTGTTCCTTCAAATATTTAGGACTTTTGAGTACTCAGCTAACAGTTTTCAGTGAGACACTGACTACAAATCACAGTGCTTGGCACATAAAAGCCCAATGCAATTTCCTTGATACTGATCACCTTTTAGAAAACATAGGAGTTAAATTAAAAGGGTAAAATATTCCTGAGAGCCTCCAAGTTACCCATATCCCTTTGAAAGGCTCAGTACTGCATATCCTATTTTCCTTCAGGTATTCACATATTTTCCTGAACACAGACTCAATGTGCTGCACAGATCATAAAACGTATTAAAAACCAGAGTAATTCAAAGAGGGGAGGAGTCATCTAATTGCACCCTACTCCCTTTTGATAAATCCTCATCAGCACTAGCATCACAGAAAGAATTGTGAGACCTGTGCTGCGGGAATGTTTTTCAGTGGCAAAGTCCAGTCTCTCTTGGTTGAATCTCCTGATAGGAATGGTCAGTACAGAGCGGGTAGTGATAGCACAATGGAAAAGGAAAAATATAGCACCTGCAAAGACTTCATAGCTACTGTCATCAATAATCGTTGTTAAGGCTGAGGAAAAACTCAGAAGAATGAGAGAAAAAAGTATCTTACTCTCCCCAGCACCACTTTTTACTTATATGCAATGCTGGGAAGTTCACTTCAAAGCATTACTGTAGGACTGGCACCAAAATAAACTTCCACAATATGTTTGTGAAGAGCTTCCAGCTACAAAATATAAACATACTTTAAAAACAATATTCCCCCTACCATGAAAAATGCAAAAGAGAACATGCATTTCTTTCAAAAAAGTTTTTTTTAGCTATACAGCTATACAAAGTAGGATCTTGCTCTCTGGAAATGAATTTTTCAGGATAAGTGAACATGCATTGGTGACAATATTTTTATTGATTTAAAATAGCAGTAAGAACCCATTTTCTTTAGTTAAATTTGAAAAGAATAAGTTTTTAGTGATTCTGACAGTGATTCCATTTTGCTTTCTGTTCTGCTACATTAAGCCTGGACACTCAGAGTTCTGTGGGCTGAGTTCCTGCTTATATTTCAGTGTTATATTCCTGATTAACATGCTTTAAGCAGAAGCAAGAGGTTGTCCAATTAAAAAAAAAAAAAAATTTGAAAAGAGAGACAACAACAGGACAGCCACCGTATGGGCAACATAATGCATTTAACAGTTACAGTACTTATCATAAATGATATTGTTGACTGATAACAGACTATACTTTAATTGATAGAACAGATAAAACCACTCTTCTGTCAAATTAAACTCTGGCAAATGAGTCCATCAGCTCTTTTAAAATACAGCTTAGGAAGATTAAGGTTCATGTTCCAGATGGCCCAAAAATAACCATTAAAATCTTCCAGCTATGCTTGAATTAAGAAGCCATTATATACATCCCCAAATTTGACATACTATGAATTAAGCATATGAAAGGAAAAAAATGAGGATATGAAAACATAACTGGGAATGTTCCTCTGGCTTTAGATATCTAATTTCTACATTCAAATTATAAGGATAATTTACCACAGCATCATTTATTATCAGGAAAATAGGAACTGGTCCTACCACTTTCTGTTTTCTGGAGGAGTTGGTTCTGTTCTCTCTTCAGAATCCCATCTGGTCTGGCAGCTTCCTCTAATTCTTAAATGTGAAAAGCACAAATGGTCCCCTAAGATTTACAAGAACCATCACTAACAATGACTGTTTCAGGTCATTAAATGTGTTACTGGTGGCTATCAAGGACATTTAAACAAATAGGTTTGTTATGGCATCCCATAGCTCTGCTTTGCATTGCTTGAGAAGGGGACACTGAATCCCCAAGAAATTTTTTTTCTTCTTTTTCCCCAAATAACTGAAAATATCTGATGAAGGTAACATGACTATTAAAGGAATTTTCAGAGGTCTGGCAAGGGGATGGAGACCAGAAGAGTCTATTATGAGCAGCTTTACAAGTTTTCCATTCCAATTCATGAACCAAAGCTGTTTATTTTTGCCCCGATTAGTTGAGTTACCACAGATATACCATTCAGATTTACAAGGAGAGAGCGAAATTAGGTGTATTTATTTTCTAAAACTACAAAGATAGAAAAAACACCAGTAACAATTTAGTATTCCCTACTATTTAAACTACAAAATATACCCAGCAGAATAGAAAGAAAAGCACACAAATGAAATAGGATGTGCATTTCTATAGTTGTGGTATGAAACAGTCACCAGGGGTAAAGATTAATGCCTAAATAGCAGATACAGACTTTACCCTGATCTATAGCCCTGGTACATTTTTATGCAAGACCACATCTGATGGCAGTCCACATGATGGTTCAAATGCCAGGTATCAGAAATCTGATTCCGTCTGGACCAAGACTTCTTTATTTGCACAGATAATTAGCAAGTCTTTCCAAGGCCTGGGCGAAACAATGGCAGCTGGTCAGGAAATCCACTCTTTACACAACTTCTCCCTAGAAGGAAATAAAATGAAGAAAAGCAATCAGAAAATTATCAAAAGGGAGACATACTATATTTTGTACATTTTGAATAGTAATTTGGGAAGTATTTAAAAGGAATACTTCCATATTTTGACAAAAGCTTGGGTAAAGAACTGTCATGAAAGAAATATTTCAAACCACCATATTTAGGTGAGAGGGAAAAAGAAAAAAAAAATAATCCACTGAGGAACACAGGAAAAAATGACAGTAGTCTTACAAATAAAGTCCCCTTCCAATACACATCAAAGAAAAGACACCTAGAGAAGATAGTTGCAAATAATTCCTAGGAGGGAGCCAGGGTTTCACAATGATTCATCTTTCCACAGGAAGAAGACAAAAAACAAGCTGAGAAACTGAAGCATAGTAAACTGCTAAATTAGAAAAGCATTTATTCATGTGTCTGGTCTGAATGAAAAAAAAGGCATAAAATAGCAAGTGAAGTGAAGACAAAGCACCAAACCACAGACATTTCTGACTATGTAAAGCCTGCAACATGACATTAATATCTTATCATGAAGTCCAGAATAATTTAGTAAGAACATGAAAGCTTTACCACAAAGCCTGATAGATGTTTTAGGGTATGGCACAAACATACACATGGTCACTTTGTCATACTTTTGGTTCAGGCTTCCTGAGAAGTCAAACCAGCTTGTTTTAACAACTTGGAATAATTAAACACTTCCACTTTGGAGATTATGCTGTAGATTAAGGTGACCCCGATGTTGAAGTGAGCTGGGAGACAGAATTAAGTGACCAGAGACCTCAGGTCAGGCATGGGTGTGTCTGGGGGATGAGCTTTTCATGACTGTTCCATAAACAACACAGCAAAGTGCAATTTCGGAGAATTTGTTAATGAATCACATTTTTTTCCTGAACAAAAACTAAAAGAATATTTCCCTGTTCGTGAGCACCCTGCAAAATAAATTCATGCCTCCAAGCTACTCCCTTTAGCACTATCAATAATAAGACTTTCAGACTGAGGAAGACTATGAAACCATTCCCTTTTCAAGGTAAGAGATTTTTTTTGTTTTGGCCATGGTCTTAAATAGCATTCAAAATGTAGAGACTGAAAAACGAAATGGTTCCAAAAATTTGCTCAAATTAACAGATGATTTTTCCACTGCTTCCTTGTGCAAAGCACACAGGGAAAATAAGCCTTTCACTCTGGTTTTTGTGCTTTGAACATTACATTAGACAGCCAATAGATAACCAGCAGTCAAAGGGACTGTGCTCTGTTCTGAAAAGCTTTTATGCCATCATCAGAAGAAAATAATATTTTAAGGAAGGCAACCACAAAGACACTCAAAACATTATTAATAGATGAGAACAGCGTGCAAAAGAAGGTTTAAAACCCCCAAATTAGTTATCCTATGAACAAGAGAAATAGGTATATTTCCTTTGTGAGGCATTTGAGAATTTTTCTGTGACAGCCAATATTCCTTTTTTTCCCTTTCAGAAATGCAAGAATGTCACCATGAAAAGAACAGCAGTGGAATTTAAATCTAAAGAGAACATTGCTTCAAGCTATTCACACTCATAATCTGTGAAATTTATGGCCTGAGAAGACAGAATTGAAATTAGCCCTTCCTTCTTTAAATTGAGCTCAGGGTTCTGGGCCTATGTAACAACTTTATGCTTTTTAATATTAAAATACAGGCCATTGGAAACCATAGATGAAGACATCACAAGAGCAAAAGTTCTAAAACTTTTTTCTTCTTTAATTTATAAGGATTAGTCCTTTGCAAAATCAACACTGAGCACAAGTGGAAGATTTTTTTCTTTTTCTGCAAACCTCTTTTTTTTGCCCTGTGATATTCTTTCATTTTGTTATTTACAACAATAATAAACCCAAGCCAAAAAAAAAAAAAAAAAGCTTCATAACTCAATAGATATTAAATGAAAAGTTATTAAGCTTTGCATGTCACAACTAAAATGCACATGGTTCCACGACCTAGCAAAAATCACAGCTGGGAAGCAGAATCACCATTTTTACAGGGCATTACAAACTGCATTTGCTAAATTGGCCAAGGCTTTTGAATCCAGATAGTTTTGAAAGAAGAAATTAATTCAGTCTGATGAAAAAAGATGAAGCAATTTCCTAGCTCTATACAGCCTATTATTTCTAAATTTTGACTGAATTCTCAGTTGCAATGCAAAAATATAAGCAAAATCCTGTTGCTATCACAGCTGCCAATTAAAATTTCAGAAATCAGAAGTTTCTGCTTAGTTTCAAACACAATTTGTATGTTCATAATGAGTATAAGTAGTACTTCTAATGGATTTTTCTTAAATATATAGTGGAAGAGGGGAAATTCATGACTTGGGCGTGTTTTAAGGAAAAAATTAACTGATGAAACCACAGCTATGGTTTTTTATGCTTTCATCAGAAAGCAAGAGTTTAGGAAGAGTTTAATTGAAGTTACAACATCCTAGAAGAGAAAAAGTAAAAATAAAGAAAGAACACAGAAAGAAAAAGGTTGAGCTGCAACTTTACTAGCAGATTTCAAGGAAGACTGTGACAGCATTGTGACAAAATAGAAAATCCTGTGAGAAAAAAAACCAAAAAACAAAGGCAGCTCATTCCATCCCAAGATGCCACGGAGCTTTACTCTTCCACATCTGACTGGAAGATGTTTGGCCAGTGCAGACTCATTGAGAGAAAACATCAGAGCAGTGGTCATAACATCTCCACCCAAAAAGATACTCCCACCTTGCTGCTGAACACATTTATAAGAGATAATTGTTGCATCCTCCATGTGCTTTATGTGTGATTTTGTCTTGGCACAACTGAAAATGCCTTCAAAGAAGTGACCCCAGGAGTTGAGTGTTACAGAAAATGGAGTAGGAAGCTGTGCTATCGTTAAGAAATTAAATAAGATTTATCTTCAGCAGCTGCCTTAGCAGTCTCTTTTGAATTCTACTCTTGATTTTAGGTGCTTTTTACAAATAGCATCATGATGGTGATCCAAGTTTGTGAAAGGTGCCAAGGACATTTGCATACAAGTACATGTACATTTCAGCAACAAGTTTTACTCCAGGCTAATGCTTATGCAAAACAACTTGGTTTATTTTTATCAAAAATTGTAATGAGCCTCCTCCTTACTCTCCCCGCCAGCCCCTCCAAAAGTAAGCTGGTTATTATAAATGAAAAAAAATGATTACTGAGTAACAAAACTATAAACCTTAGTGAGTCATATAGTCCCTAGAATTAAGAAACATCAATAACTCAAAACTTCTAGTTTTCCTCATGGTTGGCTATTGAATGAGTAGAAGCCGAGGGAGAAAAGCTAGCAATGATCAACCTTTAGACAACTTCTAAAAAGTTTTCCCCATAAACATAGCATGGATAATATCTTTTTACCTCTTAAGGCCTTGCTGACTTGCTCCACAGTTGGAATCTGTATCCAAAGTTGCTATTTCTGAGGGAAAAAAAAAATCAGGTAAGCTAACATATACGGTTTGAAAAATGTTATCTATTCACAAAGTTGTCATTTGCAGCAGGCTCTTTTCTAAGTCACCTTTACCAGTGAAAATTAAATTAAACTATAGATGAACTAACAAATATCTGCAGATCTGGACACCTTCCAATAAGGCAGAAAAATCAAAACTCACAAGCCCTAAGAAATCAAGGTTTGGGATCAGCTGTACCTTTCTCCCCTTGTGGTAAAACACCTAAAGGAAGACAGATGTTGCTCTTCTGTCCAGGGCTTGGCATCCCAGGAAGAAGTCATGGTCTCCTGACAGCCACTTCAGCCCTGGACTGACCTTCTTGACTCCCCAGTGGCATCCTTATGATGCCTTTAGTTCCCACACCCACATCTACAAATATCTGAGAAGAAAATATAGTGTCATTTGACAACTCAACACAAGAAAATTGTCCACTATTTTATCTAAACAATTCTCATCTTTAATCTGAGGGTGATCAGATCTTCTAGGTCTTGCATTTGGGGCTGGGGAAGATTGTTTTTGTTTTGGTCAGGAATGGGAGTAAAAGTGTGCTATCATTTCCCTGTTTTCTAGGCCAGGCAAACAAGCACTGCAATTGCTGTGGTTAACTGCTGTCTCAAGCTGGTTTATTTTAGGGAAGCCAGGAGAGCAGGGGTAGTCCCATATAATTAAGCAAAGAAACTGGAAGTCCTTTGGACCAAACTTATTGCTTCTTCACATCTCCTGGCTGGGTAAAGAAAGCTCTCAGAAATCCCATGTCTTCTCTCTATCTCCAGCATGCTGCCATCCTTAGCTTTTCTCAGCTGGACCCCTCTGCAAGTTCTTTAGTGAGAAGGCAGCACTACAGGTTTCTTGGTTTTTGTTTTTTCAAACAAGCAAGCCCAGCTGGTCTCCAAAATACTAGGGAGCCCTTTGGCTTTGCTGCATTCTTGAAACTTACCAAATCATAAGGCTAAAGCAGAAAAAACCTCTCATTTAAAAAGCCATAGATTTTGTCATAGTACTTTCATTAAAACATACTTTGTGTGTAGAAATCCTGAAAAAAACCTGAACTTTTCTAGTAAAAAAATTACCTGGTTTCTGCTCATCAGAAACCCTGTGGCAGGGTGTGCACTAACAAGATTCTGGTGGGCTCAGAACAGCCTCTCACGAGAACTGAAAGAGATAAGCTTTAGAGATGGCTCTGAGGTTATCATCAAACTTTTAACACTAAATTAACTCTAATAACTAATTAGCTAATTAACTCTAGCTCAGGTTTATTAGTCCCGCCTGCAGAATGTTTAAAAGTGGATGGTACCTTGCTATTTTGACTCTGCCTGTACAAGCATTACAGAATTATATTGGTATTAAGAACCATGAGTTGCTCTGACTGCAGGGCTCACTCCAGTGAGGTATTCACAGATAATAAAATTATCTATGATAGGCCTAGGTTGTTCTTTTTGTTGAGTGTTTTCTTAAGAACTATGCTAATAAAATGCCAAGACACACTTCTCTCAGTGAAGAGCTTAAGTTCTCAGAGAGCACAATAGTCAGACAATTGATTAACTTTTGGCCAGCTTCTCCCATCAACTGGTTTTCACAATTAAAAAGCCCACCACACACCACTAGAAAAAAAAACAACCCAAAAACAACCAAACACCTAACCAGCCAACAAAACCAAACAAACCCCAAAACCCTAAACAAACAAACAAAAAAACCAAACAAAAAAACAAAAAAATCCCAGAGGAAAATAATATATAGCTAAGAAAATTCGGCCCCTTTTTCTTACATATTTCCAGCTTGTAAAAAAAGTCAGACTATGGATACGTTCACAGAATCACAAGGTTGGAAAAGACCTTCAAGGTCATCGAGTCCAACCCATGCTCTAAAACCTCAGCTAAACCATGGCACTGAGTGCCATATCCAGTCTTTTTATAAACACATCCAGGGATGGTGACTCCTCTACCTCCCCAGGCAGGCCATTCCAGTGCTTGATCACTCTTTCTGTAAAAATATTTCTCCTAATATCCAACCTGTATTTCCCCAGATGTAGCTTGAGGCTGTGTCCTCTGGTTCTGTTGGTTGTTTCCTGGAGAAAGAGACCAACCCCACCTGGCTACAATCACCTTTCAGGATGCTGCAGAGTAATAAGGTCACCTCTGAGTCTCCTTTTCTCCAGGCTAAACTATTCGATCTCCTTGAGTGATTGCTTATCAGGTAAACAATAAAGGAAATAATTTAGAGAACAGTATTAATCAATCCTTCATAAATTCGATTGTGCTCACTGCTTGCTTTGAGATAATTGGTAACATAAAAGATCCTGTATTTTTTTCCTTAATTCACACAGCTTCCTACTTCGTCAACCAATGGCTTCAATATTTGATACATTTATTTTAAATCTACACTAACATCAACAGTTGCCTATTAATTTGGCAGATAAACCCTTACCTAAGAAAGACTTTCACTTTTCTCTGTTTGCTCCTTCTTTCATGAACTGGCAGTGTTATCACTGGTAGAGTAGTTACTAACATATGCCATCAGCCACTGAAACAGAAGCATCCTGTTGTTTCAATTCTTTCATATTCCTTTGGTTTTTATACAAAGAAATCAGAGCAGCAAAATGAAAAATACTGAAACAGCAGCAGAACTGCTAAAAGAACTGAGGTCTCTACTTCTTCCTCTTAGAATAATGATTATATTGTTAATATAGTTCTTCATCCAATATTAAAGTCAAAACTAATATTACTTATAGTAATCTCAGAAATATGTAGTGAGGCAATACTTACAATGTTTGAATAATTTCAATATTTCATAAATATTTTTATATTTTAAAAAATTTGTTTAAAATCTATTACAGCACATTTGATCTTTGACCTTTAATCTTCAATGCTTCAATAGAAATAGTCTTCTTAAGTAACTAAGTAAAATGTAATGTTAGACAAGGCAAAACTCATGGAAAAAATGTTTCAAGCTATATTTTAAATTTTATTTTCTTCCTGTTCGTGCAAGTGCACTCCTCCTTGTTTTCTCTAATAAGGGAAAATTGGTTTTACATAGTTGCTTAAGTCTTGTGTATTATAAACCCCAGAATTTTGATATTAATTTGTTCCAAATCTCTTCATGCAGAGACTTGGTTGCATTACTCTGCTCCTTTGGTAGGCCAAGTAAGAGCACAATTCTTACAATCCTCACCACACTTATCTTTCAAAAAACCCCAATGCTTTCATGTGAACAGAACAACCTCAGGCCAGCACAGTTTCTTATCCTTTTCTGAGGTGTGTGAGAGAGAAAGTCTTGGGAAGTTTAAGAAAGGGTCTAAGCAGTGCTGTGTTGTCAACTTCACAGAGTCAAAACTACTCTTCACCTACGTCTGATTTTCCAAATGCCTGATAAGTGCATCCTCAGCAGCTTCCTAGTGTTTTCTACAAGTGGCCTCCATACATTCATATACCCCTGCTGCCAAATTCCAACAAAGGGGTTGCAATCTGATGCCTTGAACACTGAGAAAAAACTTCCTGCTTATGAAATATCTGCAGCTTTAGCAAGACAGCAAACAAGTATCATCTGCCCTTACTACACTTTGTACTCCTTGCTTTGACAGCTTTTTAGGAAAACCTCTCATTGCCATCCCAAACTTCTTTGCTGACATCTATTTCATCAACTTTTTACCATACATTGCGTTCCATGTTGGAAAGAGCAAGGAAGAAGAAAGCAGAAGCATCAGAACTCCCTGCATTTCTTTATGTGCAAAGCTGAAGGACATTTCTACAGAACAGATTTGAGGTACTTAATTTCATCTAAGAAATGCATATTCCCATCATTGCCAATTTCACAGAAGAAAAAAATAAAAACAAATAAATTAATCTCTGGTCCTCCATGCAACAAAGTAAAAAGTTTCAGAAATTAGGTAAAGAGTCAGGTATAGTGTACTGTGAAACAGTCTTCTGGAGCAAAAGAGAGAAGAATGTTGGAAACATTCTACTTCAGTGAAAAAAAGGGCAATAGCACTAGAAAGATTTATTGCAGTCTAAATACTGAGAAGCTTACATGACCCCAATAGTTTTCTGTGATCAATTTTTATCATTCAAGTGTTTCAAACTTCTTCACAATAGAATTGCCCAAGTTCTACAGTTTACAAGTAGCTTTGCAGGTGTTGACACCTGGTATATTCCATAACTTCTTTTTTTCTTTTAACCCCTTCTTTTCAGTTATGTGCTGTCTTCACAAAAAGAGCAAAACAATGTTCTTTTCAGACACAGAGGTAGCAGCTGCCCTTGAGATACTTCCCAAATGTAGCTGGAGTTCTTGGAGTCCACAGGGATGCACTTAGGGTAATGAGTTCTGCTGGGAAATACAGACATTTTAATGGTCCCAGAAAGGCTTTGCAAGTTCATGCTGGCTTTTATAAAGGCAGATTATATGCTTTTAATTTATGGTGGTTTTACTGTGGTTCTTCAGCAGAGAACGCCCTTCCCCACCCTCCAGCATGTTTGTGTACCCATGCTTAAACTACATTTTCAAATTGGTGTGATATTAGTGGCCATAGGACTACCAAATTGATGGTATGGGAAATTAAGTGTCTGGAAAACTAAACAACTTGTTCACTAATTTTTACTGTTGTAAACTGCTTATTTGAACTTCATTTATCATAGATCATAGTTTCCCACCAGAGAACATAAAGTGTTCCATATGCCAAAGAATTTAGGTTTAAAAAGGAACAAAAAAAAAAAAATTAGATTCATCAGCTATGCCTAAGATTTCCAGTCAGTGGTCCTTAAATTTTAAGACTTTGCAACTGAATGAATGCACCTCAAATGCTGGTGATTGTCAGAATTTACAAGCTTGCACCTTTAGTGTTTTCTCTGCAGACACTCTGACTGTGATTGATTTAACTGTGCTGACCTCCCAACTGTGACAACTGCCTGATCCTCTGTCACCTGCTAATAACAGCCATATATTTAGCTGCATCTCCTAACTGCATACTGGTGGTAGA